ATATCTACATATCAAATTTCCTCTTCAGTCACTTTATCTATTAAAAAACCCATAAAAATCCATAACGTTGTTTTAAAGATTTAAGCATACATAGGTAAGTATACATATAGGGAGAGAGAAGCGACTTTGTTTTATACAATGTAGTGATAATTATGTCAATTGTATATCGATCGATCGACGACCACTTATATACACCTAATTATAAACTAACTTACATCGTACTTATTAATTAGAAATACTTTAATTACATCAAATTACGAAAACACTAACTTTTGTATCGAATAGTTCCGCGTTTTTAATTATGCTTTGTTTATGACTAGCAGCTTGGCCCACGTTCATTCACCATCATCAGTCTATAAGTGCCTACTACTAAATAAAAGCTGCTTTTCACACGGAGATTTTGAGCATTAATCACCAGCTTGCTCAAGGAGAATTAGCAATGTGTTTCCCTATTCAATAATCTACCAGTTACTGTTTGGCTGCACATTCCAACGACAGATTTTTAAACCGAAAAAAAATCTATTAATTTCAAATTAGAATGGCACTTATCCATATCCAGCAATATTGTGTGCTTTGGATCAAGCACACAATATTTTTTTGGTTTTAGAAAAAACAAGATGGCAGTAATAAACTAATAAATTTATTACGTTTCACAGTAGTTACTATATATAAAAATAAATTTAAATTCAATAGAAATTCATTAGATCAACACTGCCATATCCTCATATGTCTGCAGTCAAGAAATCTACCGATAGCAAAAGTTACATACCTACATAACATGTATAGTAGGTAATTATAAAAACATTATACATTACTAGTCTAGCCTAGACATAATAAGGCGTGACCTAAACGCCTACCTTTGTAAATAGCTTTAAATATTTTAAATGTAACGTCCATTTGTTAGTTGACTACAATTTTCACGACATTTTGACGTGAACGTCAAATTAATAACATGATGTTTGTTATGAATTGTATTGGAAATATGAAATCCGCTCAGTTCCATCTCTTGTTTATTAATGAAAGAACTCGAGTAAAGAGAAAGGAAAATAATTTGATACAGAAAATAATAAATGAAACTAACTTGTTAGTTCTAAGTGTTCCTTAGTGTGGGAGAGCCATGCTTTGGCACGAATGGGTCAGGTCGACCGGAGTGATACTACGGCCTCACAGAATACCGGCGTGAAGTAACCACAGCGTTGCGTTTCGCCGTGTGAGTGAGGTTACCCTTCCCCTCCCCAATCCCTCCTAAATCCCTAAATCTCCAAATCCCTAATCCCTAAAAGGTCGGCAACGCACTCGTAACTCCTCCGTTGCGGGTGTCCATGGGCGGCGCTGATTGCTTACCATCAGGTTATCCGTCTGCTCGTTTACCGACCTATCACATAAAAAGAAATAAATAAATAACAAGCGCACAGCAAAAGTACCACTATTCGTTCTGCCCTCTGTCATAACAATGCTTACTATCCTATAAATCTTATTACTATAAGTATTACTTTATCTTAATCTTTACTCTGTATCTATCGCAGTTTATACCCCTGATCATCATCAATACACATTTACTTAGCATAAATTGGTTGTCTTTAAAACATTATACTAAGCTATAATCCCCACGCTTGGCTTGGGATTAGCATTTCTTTTTTGCATTCACTCGCATAGCGCTTCTTACCCTATTATTTTGTGTGTGCAAGACTGTAATCCTATCTCGCGTCGACGCATTATGCACACACTGTTGAATAGAAACTCGGTAACATTGCAAAATCGTAGCTACTGGGATAAGACTAATCTTTTTATAAGCTACTTATCTCTTAACAAAATGTACGTCATGGTAGCCCGGACGTTAAGGCGCCTCTCGTGCATGAGGATGCGGGTTCGTAGCCTAGTAAGTACCAACTTTTTAAGATTAACATGTACTTCCTAAGATTATTTAGACACCACTGACAAATAGTGAGGGAAAACATGCATCGTGAGTAAACCTGGACTTATAATTTATGATTATGAATTTTAAATCGCCAATCCACCTTGAGCAAGCCCTTGCTCACTAGTGGGCACTTATAGGCTGATAATGAACGAAGTGTTGTCAATTTATCAAAATGAATTTAGAACAAGTTCACGTAATATGTTCTTACTTTATAAGATTACAAGGACGGTAGGAAAAATAAAACTCACTCGTATAAAAATCCTAATAGTAACAGGTAATGAATGTTTGTCTTAAGTTACATATTTTGTTTAACCTGAAGAAACCCTTATCAACGTGCTGGGGTTGCGGCCACCACAGACGGGGCCATACAAGGCAAGATGCTCAGCCGGGGTTGCGAGGTAAGCGCAATGTCGCACCGTGGCATCGGCCTAAACCAGGAGAAGGAACGGGGGGTTTAGTCTGTAAGAGTCTGACACTCTCTCTCGCCCTACCCTGGGCGGGAGAAGTAATTTGATGATTTTTCACTGACAAAAAAAGTGCCTTTCGTCTTACAGAAGTAACATGACAATTTACAACCTCAAGAAAAAAAAACAAAAGAAAGCCATCATCCGCATTTAATCAACTTCGCAAAGCTTTCACTCTTCAATGGTTAATGTTAAATCAATTAGTTTGTTAATGCGTGCGTGTTCAGCTGTACAGCCCTGAAGCGTGAAACCATAATCACGACATGACGTGTCAATACCACCACTGTAATTGCAGCTCACGATGCAATGCAATTATCGTATAATTGCTATCGGCACCATACTAATGCCGCGCATCGCTCGGTATAAATCAATCTTAATTTTGTCATTGTGGTCTGATGCTTATGTAATGACGGTGTATAGTCTGTAAAACTTTTTAAGACTATATACTTACGTAGCATAGGTTTGACATAAGTTAATAAGTTTTTAAAATATTTCAGAATAAAATTATTATCGATGCGTATATTTATGAGTGCGATATGCGACAACAATGTGGTTATATTTTTTTGTATTTAAATATAGGCTTGAAGCTTCGGCTGAAGACTATTTTCTTTCGCTATAGCTATGAATCCGCAAGACTTTATCTATACCAACTACAAACAACAACGTCGTAAAAATGATAAAGTAATTAAAATAACTCGTTACAATGATAAAGTAATTAAAATAACTTTATCATTCGTTGAAATTCAAACGTTAGCGTTTGAAATATTATGAAACAATCTGACTCGGCCACAGCGGCATAAATAGTATTACAGTTGTAGTACCACAGCAATTCCAGTTATTTCAGTGCTTTATCAACAAAATGTTAATTAGTTTATTTCGAGAAATGGCACACTGTTCTCATTAAGTTATCATAGAAGTTCAGTAATTCGAAAATGGAATGAGTCCGTTGCAATTGGATCTACTGGTGATGATGATGACGAAATATGGACTACATAAATATAGTGGGCATAGTGAATATAACAATAATAATAATATACGTTGCCCCACATACAGGATGTATCCTATTTCATGGGTACCTACACAAACATACAAATATACATACATACTCAATTTATAAAGGTCCGGAAAAACAACTTATGGATTTCAAAAAGTGTTGTTTCGTGCGGACCCGCCTAACACGCTACTCGTTGCACAGAAATTAGTTGTCAAGCCACTGCTCCAATCATATTGTGACTTCTAGACAGTGTTTTAAAATAAGAAAGCTCTCTCCATACTCTTGACTCAACTGCTATTCTTAATACCTATATAGTCAATTAATATTAAACCCAATCCACCTTATTATAAAACAAGATTAAACCATTGAGCCAGTTTTTGCATTTTAAATCGAAGGTAGATAGGAATAAGATTCAGAATTCAAAACCTGACTCAATAGTTTAAACCTAGACTGAAGATAAATCTTGATTTGCAATAATGCGGAATACATCTTAGTGGTATAACATGGTTTAATATTAAAGGTTTCTTTACACTTTTAGTACACTTAGCGCAAATTTATTTCCCGAAACTCAAAGCGATTCCGTCCACGTTTTAAAATGCCCGTATGTCGGAAATGGTTTCGTGAATCCATAAAATGTTTCGGCTTTAAATTTCAAATGTTTTTCTCACGTTGTTAAGTGAACGAAATAAAACTTTTAAAAGCCAATTTATTTACTTTTATAGATGGAATTTTGATATAAGGTAATGTGGCACATTTTACTTCTGTTGTTAAGAGCATCATACTAATCTATTGCTCTAAGCTAGAAGGCAAAATGATAATGTACAGAAATGATTTTGAAACTGACCGAAAAGTGTTATTAGGGATAACCAAAATTGTTAACTACTTTATCATTTATAATAATATACATACTATTAATGTTTATACATACAGGATTTCTACTGTTTCAGCAAATAAAACACCTTACAAAACTGTTCTTTTACAGCTAAGCCAATTACAAATGATAATGCATTATAATGCATATTCGTTCTAACTAACCTGTAAGGTTTCCGAAACCGTTGCACATTCTTAAACGAAGCATTAAAAAACGAACGGACTGAATATATGTATAATCCGATTTAAAAATGAAAAGTAGGTCACAATTGTGTCGTACCTACTCTGTTTTTTTTTGGAAAATAATCCACGGTGGGAACGTAATCAAATCAGTCAGTCGCGTCAGTTGAACATTCAGTTTCTGCAATTCATTTTGTCCGTAAGTACCTATTGGGGCGGTAAATTAATTGGATCGTAAACTTGGCAAAATGGCGACACGGCACTTGCAATTGAATAACGGTACATTTACGAGACGATAATGTGCTAGTCTGAGATTATTTTCGATCGAAAACTTCTATAAAATGTTATTGAATTACCCACTTGAGACGGCTACGGTGTAGACGACGGTAGGCGTTGGAAAAGTTTGAAAAATAATACGAACAAATATTTTTATGAGCTGCGTCTAGACGGCATTACCTATACATACATATAATAAAACAGTAAAATTATTTTATATTTATTATTTTTGACTGTAATGGATAGAGGGATATTTAAAAAGATTAGAAAGCAAAAAACGTTTACTACTTGCTATGTTTTAGCTCCCACTCTCACTCTCACTCTCACTCTCACTCTCACTCTCACTCTCACTCTCACTCTCACTCTCACTCTCACTCTCACTCTCACTCTCACTCTCACTCTCACTCTCCGTCTCCGTCTCACTATCACTCTCACTCTCACTGTCACTGTCAGTCTCAGTCTCAGTCTCAGTCTCAGTCTCAGTCTCAGTCTCAGTCTCAGTCTCAGTCTCAGTCTCAGTCTCAGTCTCAGTCTCACTCTCACTCTCGATCTCGCTCTCACTCTCACTCTCACTCTCACTCTCCCTGACGTGTAATAGTGCCGTTTTATGGCCTGTTTGCAAAAATACATTCATTGTTTCATTGTTCTCACTCTCAAACTCACATTCAATCTTAATCTCAAACTCACATTCAATCTCACTCTCACACTCAATCTCACTCTCGCTCTCACCTCACCATCACTATCACAATCACTATCAAATTTCACTATCACTCTCACTATAACCATCACAATCACTATCACTATCACAATCACTATCACAATCACAATCACAATCACAATCACAATCACAATCACAATCACAATCACAATCACTTTCACTTTCACTATCACTCTCAATATCACTCTCACTCTCACTCTCACTCTCACTCTCACTCTCTCTCTCACTCTCACTCTCACACTCACACTCACACTCACACTCACACTCACACTCACTCTCACTATCACTCTCACACTCACACTCACACTCACACTCACACTCACACTCACACTCACACTCACACTCACACTTACACTCACACTCACACTCACACTCACACTCACACTCACACTCACACTCACACTCACACTCACACTCACACTCACACTCACACTCACACTACTTTCTCTTTCTCTTTCTCTTTCTCTTTCTCTTTCTCTTTCTCTTTCTCTTTCTCTTTCTCTTTCTCTTTCTCTTTCTCTTTCTCTTTCTCTTTCTCTTTCTCTTTCTCTTTCTCTTTCTCTTTCTCTTTCTCTTTCTCTTTCTCTTTCTCTTTCTCTTTCTCTTTCTCTTTCTCTTTCTCTTTCTCTTTCTCTTTCTCTTTCTCTTTCTCTTTCTCTTTCTCTTTCTCTTTCTCTTTCTCTTTCTCTTTCTCTTTCTCTTTCTCTTTCTCTTTCTCTTTCTCTTTCTCTTTCTCTTTCTCTTTCTCTTTCTCTTTCTCTTTCTCTTTCTCTTTCTCTTTCTCAGGCATTAGTAGTAATCATGTATGTGGATGTATGTGTGTGTGTGTGTGTGTGGTGGTTCCCATTTGCATTGCCACGGAAATGGAAACCACCGCGCTGTAAACTAAAGTTCACGCGAACGGAGTCGCGGGCAACATTATTAACATTATTAACGGTATTTTATATTAGACTAGCTTTGTGACTTCCTGCAAGAAGACAGACAGACAAACATAGTTACTTTCACATTTATATATTAGTATAGATAAATTAAGATATTATTTTTTAATGCGTAATCCTGAGCGACCTGATATTTTGTTGTGACCACCTTTTAAAAGTTAATAGTGACTGTTATGAATAATACAAATCAATCAATTCTAGTCTTCTGCTAAATATGCGAATGCCCATCATATTTTTGTAATGTCTTTATAGGACAATGTCGAACGGGAATTATCAACAAATAATGCACTAGATTCACACAAAGCTATTTCTACTTTTTTTTAAGTAGCATTTTAGAATAGCCCGACCAAATTGAATACGCAAGAACCAGGATAAATCTAAGTGTAAAACGCAAGCAAATATAACCTTTATCAACCATTATAAGTGAGAGCTAACTAATCTGATCCCTTGGGACTCCACTGTCTATTGTTTCGTACCACGTTACCGGTCGAGTTACCGGCTAAACGTCACAAGTTCACAACAATTGACTTGTGGCCACACTCTTGACAGTTCTGACCTTCTGAAGGTCAGTGTCGAGGGCACGAGTACTTAAACACACTGTCTCCTACTTAGAGTTATTAGTCTATCTTTATGAAATATAACTTGGAGCCTTTTGCTCTTGTTCTTTAAGGTCTTGCCCTACTTTTCGCGAACTCTTATTTTTCTTTTAATCTTTTTATCAGCTAGTATGGTATACCTACTTGTTATTGTTATTAGGAGATAGAGATAGATGACGTTGGTGCTTGTCAACCGGCTGTTGTACAAAGTCTCGCTGGTCCGATATGTTAAACCGACAAATAGCTGTTTTTGTAAATTCTGGAAATTGTATATTTATGACCATACGCATGACACAGGAGAAAATCTTAGCGTGGTAAAAATAAGAATTAATCCTCAAAATAACTGTCTAAACAAACAATTTTTTATAATTCTATCATCTTGTGCTTATCATTCGGTTCGCATAAAACTCACTGTAACAATTTGTCGTTGAGTTTGCAACAACCATCCGTAGCTATTTTTTCGAACTGTGCACTTTATCGGATAATATGGAATTAATACCCTGTATGTATTAGACTTAAGGGCTATTTCATAATGTTAGGAAAGCGACTTTGTACCTTATTAATTTAAATATAGAAAAAAAATCGTGTGAATTAAGTGCTACATAAGTTTTCATCCGCAATCCCACTTGACATCGGCCCTATTAAATCACATCTGTGGTGGCCTAATGGCTCTTTGAGGCGTGCAAGAACGCGACTCTCGTTCTGGTCCGGCAGCTAGATACCCTTGCTCGTCATCCGTATATCTGTACTTCTTACACAATGACCTCAACCTGGTTAGAAGTATGCCTAAGAAAACGTTATTTAATGTATAATAATCGCAAAATGTGTTGTTTCTTATTGCCAGGAGAAGCTTCTTAATAACTAAAATTTTAGAAAAGAAGAATGGAGATCTGGGAAATGGGGACGCTTTCGTCGTTAGCGAGGCAGGGGCGAGCCACCAGTATGAGTGAGAAATTTGATTTAACCAACTGACATGATAGGAATATTGTGTTAAATAAATAAGTACTACCGCACCGAAAGGATTTGAGTAGAATAAGAAATTTCGATAAAAAGAAATAGTCTTACTTAGTTATCTAAACCAGAAAAGTTACTTACACTACAATAAACACATCTTCATTTATTTCCTATCCACAGAAAGATACTATTCATATTTTTTCTATTGTGAAATTTTCTCTGATTTACATAATCTCTAGCTTGATGTGAACAAGCGAAAAACATATCTGGCATACAAAAACCGAGGAAACTGTTATTCAGAGAACGTCACGGAACTATGCGCAGATGCGTCGGGTTATGTAGGGAGGGGTGGGGGGGTTGTGAAGTCAACAAGGCGGACAGGTGGGCAATATGTCGGTGGCTACACGGCTGTCGACCGCGTGACAGCTGGCCTCACTTTATTAGGTACCAGTATATATGCAGCTGTGCATAATACATAGGAAAAATATCAGTATGGCTTTCTGTTATTTTGATCTGCGGGGGAGAACAAACATATGTAAACAAGTCTTGATTCATCACAAGATGTACATCTGGAATTATTGTAAGTGTCAATTTTATTCCAAAGCGCCGTGACAATGCTGCATTAATTGTCTCAAAAAACACGTAGGTAGATTATCGTATTATTTTAGCCGGGGTCGCTGGTCAAGCGGTGTAAAGTGGCACAGCCTCGGCCTGGAGCAGGAGAAGGAACTGGGGATCTTTAGTCAGTAAGTAAGAGTCTGACACTCTCTCCCGCCATAGCCTGGGCGAGGTTACTGTAGATATTATAAAAAACAAAGAGAGTAATTAAATAGAACCAAGATACATGAAAACATGCTTCCTTATGTTTTGTTAAGAGTAAACAAAAGGGTTGTTTAAATCACTTAGGGTCTGAAAAGTAGTAGCCGTTTCTCAGACCTACTGATTATGCTTAGATATAAATTTTGCTAAAATGTATAAAGCCCTTTTGTAGGAGTAGGTACACAAGTTAAACTAACACTGTGACACAAACTGTTGATATGATACGAGGTAAAAATAAATACTTTAATGACACAATGTTCCAAGTAGTCAGGTCTAATCAGTCTGTGTCATTATATGTCTATATGAATTGTATTCATATACATAGGTAGGTATCCATTATTGTACATGATAATGTGACACACATTAATTATAAACAGGACAGCTAATTATGTATCTTCATAATAAAACAGCCCAGTGTTATTAAAGCCATACCTACTTTATTTAATTAAAATAAAATTAAAAGTGTTCCTCAGGGATTTTTTTTGTGAATTTTAAATTTTAATAATTATGTAATTTATCATTGATGCTCCACCCGCTTTGTGTGTACCATTTACACCAAATTATACATTATAAATATTACTTATAATGTATAATTTGGTGTTTAAACAATGTAATAAACAAATTGATCGTTTTAGGATTACGTAACTATCAGTACATTGTATAAAACAAAGTCGCTTTCTCTGTCACTATATCCCTATGTATGCTTAAATCTTTAAAACTACTCGACGGATTATAATGGGTTTTTTTAAATAGAGAGAGTGATAGAAGAGGAAGGTTTATATGTGTATAATAACACCCATTAAATAGTGGAGAAATTTAGTAAGAGATCAACGTCGGACCCGTGCGAATGCGGTACGGGTAGCTTGTTTTGTTATAAGGCCTTTATAATACTGGTACAAAAAATCAATACAGAAATAGGTTTTATTTAAAGCTAACAAACACTTACAAAACAACCTTTTCTAGGAAAAACAACGAATTTAAGTAACACTAAGAAGTTTGAAATCTTTTTCTAAGTATGTATTTCGTTTAACACCATTATTTTTCGCGAAGACGCAAATGCCTTACCGGTACTATAATACCAAAGCTCATGAATTTATTTATTCAGTAATAGGGTTCTTATGGGATCTAGGGACTTAGTTGGGAAGTCATTGTACTTTGACCTCTCGGAGTGTTTCGCACAATTTGGATATTTTAGGTCCCGCAGGAGCACTTGGACCCCTTAGTAGGAACTCGAGAAAGGACATAGGATAGTTTTTAAACCCAAAATCTACAGGAAGTCACTATTCCACGCAAACAAAGTCGCGGGCAAAAGCTAGTTTCTAAAGGATCGGTTTAAAATATTTACTTTAATATTTTTACAAACTTTTCTATTGTAGGTTAGTTTAAAATTTTCTTCTTCCGTCGTGTTAATGCTAACTAAATATCTGCTGAGAAAAAAAACTAAGCCCAAGCATAATAAGTACCTAATCCAGCAAAAAATCAGTTCCTTGTCAAAAATCTAATGTCTGATTTCCCACACAGCAGTATTTATTTATTTATTATTTTATTTAAACTTTATGCAACAAAACATTACATAGGCGGACTTAATGCCGTAGGCATTCTCACCAGTCAACCTTAGGGTGATGCAGAGAGAGTATGGTAGGTGCAACAAGAAGAGAACTTTGATTTGAAGAAGAGAAATTAAGATTAAAAATACAACAAAAACACTAAAATAAATAAATATTTATATATATACAGAATAATATAATTATACTGGTATATGGTGGTATGGTTTATAAAATAAATACTCAATACATACTCTATATTCTTACATAAATAGTAGTATAAATATACATTTATATATATATAAATGTTTACATTTATATATATATAAATGTAAACAGTATGTATGGGCAAGAAAATTTTCGCTTAAATCCTTACTTGGACTACCACGAATATTTCAAGAAAAAAATTACGGTTAATTTCTTTCTTGAAATATCGGTCGAGTCGAGTCGGTCGGTCGAGTCGGTCCAGGCATTTCATAGTTTAGCGCGAACAAATTTTTTTTTTAATATAAAATATTAGTGTTTTATTTTCTGACATAGATTAACAATACAATTCAACATTTTATTATTATTAGCCGTTATCGTCCCACTGCAGGGCAAAGGCCTCCCTACCCTTCTTCCACTCCTCTCTACACAAAGCTTTCTGCGGCCAATCCTCGTCGAAGACATCAAGTTCGTCCCGCCATCTCCTTCTGGGCCTGCCTCGGTGTCTATTAGCGTTGTGTGGGCTCCATTCGGTAATAAATTTTGCCCACCGCTCGTCTGACATGCGGCAAACATGTAATAACAATTCAACATACTTTGTGTAAAATAATGACCTTCATAAGTGTGGTTATTTTACTTCCATCCCATCCTAAGAAAGAGTTAGAATTCCTACAGCATTACACTCGTGCTACGATGCCAAAGAATATCGTGAACAGTTGTTACTGTCGCGTGACC